TTGCCTCCAACCTCAAGTAGCCTGTGCCATCCCCTCGCCTGCCTACCCTAATATCTTACTCATGCAGCAAGGAAGGAAAAAGGAGAAAGATCACTCTAAAATGAAAATGCCACAAACTGGTATCTTTGGGGTCCTACAAAGGATCCGTGCTGAGTCATTCATTAACTACTAACCAATAATCCCACGCTTTTACAAGATTGATTTTAAAACTTATAATATGGTCCTGTATGTAACTGTGTAATCTCCATAGAAAAGGGAGGCTCCATGTTTCCTTCCCCAGCTAAGGAAGTGGGGAGCAGATGGGAACTGGCTGCTAGAAAGGACTTGGGGAGAAAGACTTGGAAGAGGAACATGAAGCATGTGGAGACATGTGAAGAAAAAGCCCTACTTGCTTCTCAACCTTGGACTTGTCGACATGGGTCCCTGACTTGAATACAGGTAAAGATACTTAGAAGAAATGTGGGTGAGGGATTGGTGACAGCTGACAATAGCAGCTCTTATCTTGATTTGTGCTCTGTTTTGCTCCTTTTGTCCCAAACTTGTCTGGTCCTTTCTGTCCCTCTCCTGTGTTTCCCCACCAGAAATTGCCTTAGACTTGTGGCAGGTTTTCAGGTCTAAGTGTCCTGCTTTGGGTCACCCTTTTTGGCTGGACATTTACCCAGGAGGAGATAGGTAACTGAGTGTGTCATTGGGAAATGATATCCTTTTTCTTCTCTCTATTGCATACAGTTGCATTAAAGTTCTTTTCTGTTAAAGGTATCACACAGCAAGAGTATGCTTTTTCTGTAGGCAGTGGATGGCCGAACCTTTTTAAATGTGAAGGTTTAGGGTACCCGGAGTTGTTCCTCTGTCTGTCTGCTAACAAGGATGTAAAATATCTTCTTTTACAACTTTTAGGTGTCAGTCATTGTCCTACATACTTCATAGTTGTCAGCTACAGTCTAAGGCTCAACTGCTCTGTAATCAGATGGTCTCCATTTGAATTTTGGCTTTGACACAGTAGCCACCCGGACTTAGGTCACTCATTATAGATCTCTCTAAGCCTCAGGGTCTTGGTGTGACTCTCTGACTGGCTCCTTCTTATCGTGTAGCACTCAGCCTAAATATTCTAGTATTCTAAACTCAGAGAGAGCTTCCCTGACCACCCTCTCCAAAGCAAGACCATCCATTCCCTACCCACCATGGTTTCTCCCATCAGTTTCTCTGTCTAGTCCTCTCAGAGTACCCCTGTCTCCTGCCCCTTTGCGGGGGGGCCCTTGCTCAGTGTGGCTTCTAGGTTCTGGAGATATGGAATAAACAACTGCTACCCATGGAGCTTCCACTCTGGTAGGGAAAGGCAGACAGACAAATAGGCAATTAAAAAAAATATATAAGCAACATTCTAAACATTCTAAATTCCTTGTTAACTGCTCATCTCCTTTAATAAAGTATTAGCTCCCTGAGGGTAAGTTCTTATCTATCTTGATTTCTGTTGAATTCCCAGGGTCTTTCACAATGCTTAGCATGTCATATGATTTAGGAAATGAAGTAAAAAATGAAAAGACTAAAGTATATAACCCATGCTAAGGTAGTTTCTGGAAAACATGGTAAACACTTAAGAAAGTGGTGGTTGCTTTTCAGTTAGATTCTAAAGCTGTGACACTTTATCACATAGTGTCTTTAATGATAATTAAACACTCCATTGTTATAAGTAAACACTCCATTGTTAGAATTTTAGAACTGCACATAGCCCATGTACAATTTAGTTACTAAATTCTTTTGTAGACCATGAACTGGCTAGGCATATTGAACTAATGTCTTACTTAGTAATAACCCCAAGATAATCCTAAAAGTTAAAAATTCTTATCCTATTATTAAAGGGCAGGTGGTAGGAAGCACCCAAAATCCATGCAAACAAAATGCTCTGTGATTTCAGAGGAGAAAGTGACTCACGTGGCTGGAAGAGGAGGTAAACCTGGAGGATAGTAGGACCTGAGCCAGGAGATAGTGTGTATGTTGGGGTGGGAGGGAGCCTAGGCAGAGCAGTGAGAAGAGGCACAGAAAAGCATTTGGTTGGTGCGTCACTGACATGGGTGGATGATGTGGTACAGGAAAGGAATAATGACAAGGGGGCATGACTCAGCTATTTATAAAGATGAAATAGTGTCTTTGGGACAAAATGGATGGATCTTGAGGTGATTATGCTAAGTGAAGTAAGTCAGAAAGTGAAAGTTACCAGATAGTTTCACTCATTTGCATAATAGACATAATTAAAGAAAACAAGCTGGTGAAGCACAGCAAAATAATTCTTAGATTCTGGGCCCAGGGGAGGGATGATCGGATAAGAGAGGGACACATCCCTTCTAATGCCATTCAGAGACTGGATGGTAGAATACAAACTAGCATCCTAGGTTATTCTAAATCAGAAGTCATACTTGGGATCCTAGGACTTCAAATCGCAGCAATTCCTTCAAGCTCATCACAAGTCACATAAAATTTCTATTGATATGTGGCCCCAGTATAAAGTGGGATTGCAGAAATAAACTGACTCTGGATTGTATCTCTGGATACAACACCCTCAAGGAGCTTTCCTGGGAGACACAGCAAGCAAAGGCAAGTGTCTAGACCTTGACCTTGACTACTCTCTGGCTTCCCCTTCTCATCCTTCCCTCCAAAACCTGGAATGGATGCCCACTTGATTGTCTGTGCCTAGCTCAGAGACGTCCCCATAGGAATGGTACGATAGATGACATGAGCTCAGCCAGAAGGTAAAATGGGCCACAATCAGCCTTCCGAAGAGGGTGTGTTGGATACTGTTTTGTACAATGAGAATGACCTGTTGAACGTGGGGAAGTAGGGACTAAGCCGACTGAAGTAAAATGATCAAAGGACAAAGGAAAGGGGTGAATGGGACTAAGGCTTAGCAGCACTTTCTCAAGGTCTATTCTTCCTCTCTGTCAAGGTTGGAGAGATGGTTGACATCAACCTTTGAACTGAGAAGCTGCATATTAAGAGTGAAGGTGGGCAACTCCTAGGTATCTACCCAAAAGACACAAAAACATTGATTGAAAAAGATACCTGCACCCCCATGTTTATTGCTGCTTTATTTACAATTGGAAAAACATGGAAGCAGCCCAAATGCCCAAAAGTAGATGACTGGATAAAAAAGATGTGGTACAAATGTACAATGGAATATTACTCAGCAACCAAAAAAGAGAAACACATGTCTTTTGCAGCAACTTGGAAGGAGCTTAGTGAGATAAGCCAGAAAGAGAAAGAAAAATACCAGATGGTTTCACTCATAGCAGAAGTATAATGGACCAAGTGAGAAAATAACAAAAATAATGAACAACAATATACCAGAGACATTTTGCAGGGGTAGAGTGGGGAATGGGATCAAAAACGGGGGGGTGAGGGGAGAAGTGCACGGGATTATGGTGATGGCACACGGGTGACTTGGTGATGGGAAACCCACGGGGATTACAATTGAGATGGAAAAAAAATGTACAAAATGATGTAAAAATAAACTGTTATAAAAAACAGCATTAAGCCACAAAAACTGTCAAAATGTAAAAAAAAAAGAGTGAAGGTGGGCAAGTTAATTCAGTTGCCTTGACAGCAGTTATATGCAGTTCTGGGTTTGAGCTCAAGTCTACTCCCTTTGCCTTGATATTTTTATCACTATATTTATTTCCATGTGGGAATCTTCTTAATTTCCATGTCCCATGACATGAGCACATGATTAACAATTGCTGCCTATTCATCCCCTTGGTGGATTCCTTCTTATTCCTCTTCCCTCCTATTAATTATCTCAGAGTCAGCTGTGTCTCTCTTTTTTTTTTAAATTTAAATATATTTATTTACTTTTACATAATTCTTCATTTTGTACATTTTTTCAAGCTGTGTCTCTTGAATTAGATTTCTGATGGGTCAAGACACTTGGGTCCCCTGCATGGTACATGCCTGTTTTCCAATCCTGCAAGTTCTGCATCTTGAAAGGAACCGTAGAAACCAATTTACCCATGCTTGTTGTTAAGTGTTCAAAATATATCTGCTTGCTTCAGCAACCCAACTTGTGTTTTGGAGGGGCAAAAAATGCAATAGAGGCTGGAGAATTCTCAGCCACACAGCCCCTCCAGAGTGCAGGGAAGGGGTCCGGGAGAGTGGGCAGCTTTGTCCAACAATCCTCCAAGGAATGAGCAGCAAGGATAACCACAGCTCTCATGAAACCGTGTCTCCATCTCCTTGTATTGGACATGCTGTCTTCTTTCCCCTATATAGTTTGCTTTTGTTTTTCTGCCTTCCCAGAGGGGCCCTTTCTCCCCCTTTATCATGCCACAGTCAATGCAATAAAATCTGTTTTCTCCCTAGTTCCCTATTACTCACCGGAGTCCACCTAGTGTCTTTCCATTGCATTGCAGCATGGACACAATAGAATTTTCCATATGGCAATGAGAGTGGTTTTGTCTGGAGACAGTCTTTGTAGAACAAGGTGAAACTGGTTCATGAAAGCCAGTCTAATATCCAAAGAGCTAAAAGTGACTAGAATGAAGAAGACTATTTTGACAACATACCAGTTTAATGGAGATCCAAATGTTCAAAAGAAACAATCAGAACTTCGTACTAGTAGGAGAAGTCAGACTTGCCACAAACAGGTTTCCTGGGTCCCTGTACAAAGCCTCTACATGCTGAATCATGTCTTATATTCACAGGACATAAACTGGGTTCTCAACCACCATCCAGCCTTTGCAGGCTAACCTGCATATCCTGTGTGATGTCCATGATCAAATACACGAATTAAGTGTCAGTGCTTCAAGGGCTTTGGGTGACAACAAATGTCAGTTGGCCCAGCGTTAGAACCTCTCCTCTCCTCCACCCCTCCAGTGTCCTCCCTAGTGCTGCTCATTTTGGCTCTGCCCTGCCAGGTGATCCTTTCCACTCCTTGTCCCCTGGCGGGTGGTGGTGATGCATGCTCAGCCCTGTGCTAAACTGTACTGCCTCTCCCAGACCCCTCACCCTGCTTAATCCTCCCTCCTTCTCTGCATTTTAGTCCGGGTCTCTTCTTGCCGTCGTCTCCACGCGGCGATGATGGCTTCATCGTCCATTTCCTCCTCTTCCTCCCTGTCAGTGTTTCTTCGATACTGGCACCGCCGCCCTGAAGCAAACCTCCCTTCTTCTCTGTTTTCCACCCTCTCTTTCTCTCCCTCCTCTTCAGACCTCATGAAGCTCTGTGTGAATTTCCTCTTGGCTCCAAACTCAGAAAAGTCTGACTTGGATGACTCTTCCCCATCTTCCCAGTCCCTGGGTCTTGCCCAGCTAGGATCCCGGGGTTCTGGAGATTCTTCCCCTCCGGAGGGCTCGGGAGTCCTGCGGAAGAAGTAGGGCTCCGGGCTCTCCTCTCGGGAGCTGGCGGTCTCACTGAACTTGGACCTGGAGAACTTGTGCATCTCCCGGCCCTCCCGGGTAGAAGAAGAAGAGAAACGGGAGATGCTTCTCACAGAGTTACCATTGGCTTCGTGAAAGGAGGAGGTGTCCCGTTCCTCTGACTGAGATTTAGAGAACTTATAACTGGAGGATTTGGATTCTGTCTCCCGGAGCAGTGAAGATCTCGTGTACCTCCCCCTGGAGCTTCCAGAACAATCACTTGGGGGAGGAGATCTCTCCTCTGTCCTGAGGCCACTGAGCCACTTACTAATACTGCTATCTGTCTCTCTGTTGGGCCCGCTGCCACCTCCATAGCCACTTCCTGGGACCGCCAAAGAGGAGGAGATGTCTGTATCAGGTTTTTGGGAATTGCTGCGGGAAGAATACCACAAGCTCCCTACAGCACTGTCAGTGTCCTCACCCCTGTCACCAGAGTCATTGTCCTCATCTTCCTTCACCTTCTTTTTCTTGAAAAGGGAGCTGCGTTTGTTGTCGGAGGCCAACTTCTCTAGTTTATATTCAGACATTTTCTCCCTCAGCTCCATTTGCATCTCCCTCTCCTTCCGGTCAAGTTCCTTTAGGTTGACATTGTCAGCAAAGAGGTTGTAGATGGGCTTGCTGGTCCCCCTTACTCTGCCTCCTGTTTGTTCAGCTCTGGAGCTGGGAGTGGTGCTGGATGACAGCACAGAAGTTGTGTCGCTGCCGGATCTTACGAGGCTTTGAGGCCGTGGGCAGCCACCCAGGGCGGAGCCACTCTGTCCACTAAGCATGGAGACATGGTCATCCCCCAGGCAGCTGGCTGCTGGTGCCACGCTCATACTTGCAGCGGATGGTGAGCGGGACAGCAGCAGCATTTCATTTTGCTTCTGTGCGAGAGTTTCACTGACGACATTGGCAATCCAGTTCTGGATACTGGCGATGGAAATGGTGTCTCCAGGCCCGACGGGTAAGTTTGGCAGGGGTGTGGTGGGATTAGGGGTCAAGCAGCCGCCTAGGTGGCTTACAGCCTGAGATGGATGGGAACTGCGGCTCTGGGCACTGAGGACTGACGTGGTGTCCCCATCAGCAGTGCCCGAGGGAGCTGCAGACCAGAAGGCGGACAGGGGGATGCTCCCGCTGGCGACCGAGCGGTCTGCCTCCCAGCTGCCCATGGACTGACTCTCCTCTAGCGTCTGCCTGCTCCTCTCCAACAGCTCTAGCCTCCGCTGTCTCTTCTTGGCTGAGGCTGTGTCCTCTACCTTGCCAAGGTCCACCACCTCCTCCTTGTTCTCGCTGCCCACCTTTTTCTGGTGCTTGAGCTTCCAGGCCTGGTAGGCCGTCAGGTTGACATCCGAGGGGCTCTTCTCCGCCTGCTCTGTGCCTTGCTCACTGCTGCTGTCTCCTGCCTCCGAATCTCTCTTATGAAACCCAAATTGGATTCTCTTGATCTTCCACCTTTCCAGGGCAGTGAGCTTGTCCTTATTCTTGCTACAGAAGTTATAGAAAGAGCTGGCCTCCGAGGACACGCTGTCCTTGTCATCCTCGCTCACGCTGCTCCCCACCTCAGAGTCCGTGTCCCCTTTCTCTCTCCTTCTCCTGGAGCGGTACTCCCGGGAAGCTTCCTTCTCGATCTCCAGCAGCCTCTGGTTCCACACATCCCAGGTGCTCTCTGTGGACACAGAGTCAGCACGGCGCCTCCCACCCTGCCTCTGGCGGCTCATCTCTAGCTGCTGCTTCAGGACCTGAATGTCATGGCTGCTCACGCTCTCTGAGCTGCTGCTCTCACTCACCGTGTGCCTCCGTCTTCTCCCCACAAAGGAGTCAGCGTCACTCTCCTCTTCCTCTTCCTCTCGATCCCACCTCCGGTGCCCTTGGGCCTGGTACCTCTCATTTCGGCTCTGCCACTCCCGGATGATGCTCTCCACGTCCTCGTCCTCGGGTTCCTCTCCACCCCAGCCAGAGGAAGCTGAGCGCCTGCCATCCCCGCCCTGGGGGGTCTTGCCCGCAGGGCGGCCCTGCTCCTTCTCCCAGTGCTCATGGTGTTTCTTCTCATCTTGGTCCAGGACGGTGTGGGGCCTGGAGGCTTGACTACTGGCCTTCCCCATGGAGGAGCCACTCAGGTGGCTGGCGGCATCGTCCTCCTCCTCCACAGTGAAGGCCTGCACTCTGGCCCTGGCAGTGCTCCCTGCATCCTCGCCCTCTGAGGCCTCATCTGTTCCCCCCTCGGGGTCACAGTCTTCTTCCCTCTCCTCCATTAGCTTCTCGTTGAGCTCCCGGAGCTGTTTCAGGAAGCCATCATTGGGGTAGATGGCGCGCTTCTTCCGCAGGGTCATCAAGGCTTCTAGGATGCTCATGTTGTGGAAGATCATCAGGTAGGCAGCCACCAGCACTGCTGACCGGCTGATGCCCATCTCGCTGCTGACCAGGACTTTCCCTGAAAAGAAAGCAAGAAAGAGATAACGCGATGCTGGTTTTTTTTTTTTCTTTTCAAGTACTGTTTTTGGAGTGCTGGGTTGAATGTGCCAGCTTCCCTTCTGGCGCTCCTCCACACTCACACCCCACTGGTGGACATCCTGTCTGCAATGGTGAACATCGGGAGGAGAGGGGGTGGGCGTGGAGGGCAAGGAAATACCCCCTGCCCCCACTTTTGAAACCCTGAAGCACTTTTTGACTTTCACTCCACCACACTAAGCATCAGAGTGAAGAGAAATAAAAGAATAGGAGAAAGAAAGGCAAAAAGGAATGGGGATAATTCCTAAGACTCCCTGGAGTGCACAGTTCAGTGCACTCCCTCTCTTACAATCACACACACACACACACACCCCTTCACTCCATATTTAGATCACTCTAATTTGGGGAAAATTCTTTCATATATTCCAGGAAAGCCCACCTTTCTGTGACCAGCTTCCAGTGGTCATACTCTGGAAGGTCAGTAACGAACACATCTGTATTAACCAGGTCTTTTATACAAAAATCTTTAAGAGCACATATCATATATTTTTTTCTTTTCCTGGCTATTCTCAGTCAATCATTACTGGAACATCTTTTCATTTCCTTATTTAGTAGCCATTCTTTCCATTTTGATTGAGTTCTTCTTTCTTTTTTTTGGGTCAGGATAGAGCAAATAAATTAGGTTGGGACTGGCCCACAGGAGTAGAGGGGAGCCCTTACCCCTCACCCAGGCTGTAGGACCTTCACTGGCACTGTCTACACTTTCTACACTTGTACTGTGGGTGGATATGTAACAAAAGAATTTAATTGTCTTTAACATCAACTGAAATTTTTTTAAAGATTTATTTATTTATTCATATGGAACTGGGGTACAGGCCAGAGATGTGGATGGTGAGAAGATTCACCAGAGACAGAGAGGGGAGTAGAACAGCAGATCGACGAAGTACACTGCTGAGGGGAGCAGTGGGCAGATCAGGAGAGGTCTGCCTCGCCATGTGGTCACCTCCGGGGCAGGCGGGAATCGAACTCATGTGAAGTGGCTTAAGCTTTTTAGTGCCGCGCCTTAACCCGCTGCGCCACCAGGGAGGGCCTCAACTGACATTTTAAAGCTTTTTAAAAACTGCTGTTAAGATATAGCTCTCAAAGCATTTTTTTTTTTAACAATAAGGATAGCTTCACAAGTTTCCGTGAATGTTTTAGATAGATATAAGTCATTCTTATAACCTAACAGATAACTTGACAAGCCTCAATTCTACTGTACAATGCGTAAGACACCCCCCCCCCCGTGAGTTGCATTCTTCATGAATGTGAATGACCTGTCTTCTATGACTTCATCCTAATAGTTGTTAAAATGTAGCCAGGGGCCCAACAAGACCTCCCTCCGGACTCTTGGTGGGCAAGTATCCTTCACTTCTTACCTGCACTACAGTGATGACTGTCGTGTCCCCTTACACCACCCTAGACTTCCAAGCCCAGGGAGGGTGTTTTCTGAAATGTAGCTCAGATCGATGTACCTTTCAGTCCCCTTGACTTGGCCTTCAACTTCCTATCTAATAGGATCCCTACCCGTCTAACCTTCACCCGCCACGCAAATCCACACTCTCCAGGGAATTCCTGAACACACCAAGTTTCTTCCACCTTGGGATCTCTGCAATAGCACTGCCCTTGGCCAGCAATGTTCTTCCAGTTTTTCCCACGATTAATTCCTTCTGATCATTCAGCTTCAAAACCCCCTTCTCTGAGAAGCCTTCTTCCTTCAAGAAGACAGCCAACCTAATACACCACCCCAGTTATGTCTCTGCCTCATACTGACCACCATCTGACTTTGTTTTGTTCTTTTTAATATTCTCTACTCTCATTACAGGTGAAAGTCAAAAGCCAGAAGCTTTGTCTACCATCACAGTGTCTAGAACGGTTCCAGACATGAGTTAGCCCTCAATAATTTCTTGCTGACGAATTACTGCTTTTCCCTAAATGGCAACAACAACCTTCTTAGGACAATGACTCCCAGACATGGCAGATCAACTGGCGGTGTTTGCAGTGTTCCCCAGGTTGCTTTCTCCTCGGTACAATCCTAGCAGCCTGGAGCAGGTGGAAACCACACCCCAGCCCATGCCCTGCACCTCTATATGTCAGCAGCGCTTCATCAAGGAACTCAGCAGCCTTCCGGAAATGCTGGGAGATGTCCACCTCAGGAAAGTCATCGGTCTCCACACCTAAGTACTGGACCTCCAGGCCGGTGTAGAATTCAGGCCCAGTATAGACGCCGGTGCCATGAGCAGCATTCAGGATGTGGGTGATTCCCAGCCTCTTCAGCCTCCCCTTATTCACAGCCACACTCCTGGGGGAAAAGAGGAAGGGACATCTTTGCAAGGGACAGAGCCAAGAAGCAGGCATTGTGCAATGATTGGGAGCCTCCTTTGTCAGGGTCAGAAGGGCCACAGCTAGGGATTCTCGGCTTCTGGTTGTGTCTAGGACTTGCTGCAAATACGATTATGAAAACAGGTGAGTGGCTTGATTCCAGCAGGAGAGAGAAGGGACTGGGAGCTGGGTGGGAGAGTCAGGAGGAAGAGGAGAGCAAAACGCACGTGTAGTCCTTGAATGGCCCAAAATTGAAAACCCCATGTCTTGCGAATGGATATTTATCAAGAACCAAAAGTGGTAGACAAAAATAATAATAAAATTAGTGGTTCATTTTGATCTGACATGCTACACTTTCATAGTCCTTCCCATGCATTGTTTTATATTATTTCCATAGGGAACTTTAAAGGTGCAGAGAACAACTCTTTTATCTTTGTGCCTAATTTGACAGAACTTTAAAACACCTCCGATAAAGTTTACCTTTTGGGAAAGAAGGACTGCCAGAAAATATTAGCCTTTACATTATGCCTGCCTTAGAAATTTTCTTGAAATCTGACTTTTATAAAGGAGTATATGGATACATTGAACCATACTTTAAAAAATAAAACTTGATTTCCATTAAAGCACAGATTATAAGGTTACAAAAACTCACGACTTTTACTCCCATTTTAAGATAACAGATTATCCATCATGACTTCCCAAAACTGAAAAGAGAAAAAGACTCTGAATAAGAACTAGCGTTTTGGTTTCTAGATCAGAGCTCTTTCTGTTTCTGCTGAATAAATAGAGCTTAGGCCCACCCTGGTGGCACAGCCGGTTAAAGCACAGCACTGAGAAGCTTAAGCCACTTCCTCATGAGTTCGATTCCCGCCTGCCCCGGAGTAGCTCCACATGGTGCGGCAGACCTCTCCTGACCCGCCCGCCGCTCCCCTCAGCAGTGTACTTCGTAGATCTGCCCTCTCTGCTCCCTGCTCTGTCTCTGGTGAGTCCTCTCACCCTCCGCATCTCTAGCCTGTACCCCAGTTCTGTATAAGTAAATAAAATCTTTAAAAAAAAAATAGAGCTTAGCTGGAAGAGGCCTGAAGGACTGCCCATGCAGGAGGAGCTGCCTCTGGCTGGGGACATCTAGAGGGACCTGGGGTCCCTGGTGACCATGGTGTGGCTGTCTCTCCAGCTACAGATCTAATTAGAGGTTACTGAGGACTTGGTGCCCAGCTCTGAGAATCAGGTTCTGGACAACTAATTAGCCCACGGTGCAGCACAAGACCCAATGTCCAAAGATATTTTCCCTGCTGCTTTCCCTGGAAGTCCTAAAGTCCCTCCTTTGCTTCTGGAGATACGTATGCTGGGAGGACACTTTATTAATTTGTCAATGGAGCGACAAAAATTAGTTTCACAAATCAGTCTGTTAGTCCTAATTACGGACTGGCAAGACCCTGATGGAGAAAGATATAAGCGAGTTGTTTCTTATTTTGCCTTGAAAACCACTGATGAACTTTTAAAAAGTAACATCTATTCTGATTATAGAAACATCTAATGTTTACTCTAGGAAATCTGTCTAATTTTAAAGAAAGCTAAAATAGAAAATAAAAATCACTGCTAGCACCACCTCCAGACAGAAGTACTATTACCGTCTTACCACTTTGTTTCTCATTTGTTCTATGCAAAGGGATATGCATAAGGTAGCCTGTGTATCCACATGCAATTATAGGAACATTTTCATATTTTGGAAAATGCATGTAAAAATCACTAAGTTCAATGACTCCAAATGTTTCATTCTATGGTGGTGGGGCTGTCGTGGGCTGCTGGTGATAGTGGGGTGTGGCAGGAAGGGAGGCCCAGAGAAAGCACCAAAGGGGAGGGAGCACAAGACTATGATGGAGAGCCTGGCAGGAGGAAGGAGGACAAGGAATAGTGCCAGCATTTACCTGGGCATCCCTGTGTGCAGGGGGATGGGGCCTTCCTCCAAGTTGGGGACTGGATGAGTGGTCAGGCAGCCCCAGATTGCTGGGAAAACTGCAGGAATCTCCTCTCCCCCAGGAATCCCCCAGAAGGGCAGGGCAAGGGCGCCCCCCTCCTAGCAGTGAGACTCACTTCTCAGCTATGAAGATGTTGGGCCAGACTTCATCCACCTCATTCCAGGGGGCCTCTTGGCGGTCTTGGAGCAAGGACCGCTGCAGGTCCAGGATGCTCGGGGTGTTGTACAGGCTGGTGTCGTCCATCTTCTCCCTGACTCGGTTGTACAGGTCCTCCACCAGCAGCTGCTCTGCAGACTCCAACATGCCTGGACACTCAGTCTCCGCTCTGGCCCCCCGAGGCTTGAGTTCTGAGGGTACAGGCAGCATTGTCATCACAGAGACAGGGACCCAGCAGCCTTCCCTGCTCTGTAAGAGAACCCACGCTTGGCCAGTTTACTGTCAGGACTCTGGGTGTGGGTCAGAATGCCACCAGATCATCCAGGAAGGACTTAACAGAGACCTGGGGGTGGGGGAGGGCACACTGCTCTGTGCGCCTGTGGCACAGACCCTCAGCAGCTCAGGTGTATAGGGGTGTGTGAAGGGGAACCAGCCTCCCTTACTCACTGCCGTAGTTCTCTAAACTGGCTGACATTTTTGAGATGGGGGTCCTTACAAACTATTTCTATTCATATTTATAATTCGCAGTGCCCCACACAAAGTGGATTGCCAGAGCATTTACCAAATGAATAAATGTCACTCTTCATAACATCACTCACTCTATTAGTTTGACTCCTTCACATATGGAATGCAAATAACACTGGGAAGAGGAAACCAGTCAGTGAGCATTTATACCAGATCACCTTGAAATACACATTCAATTTACTTATTTATGTCATAGATTGTCTGCTCCTCTCTGTATAAATGTCCATGATCCTCAGCCTCCCTGCCCTCTGACAGGAAAAAAAAAAAAAATAGGGGAGAGCACTTGGTAACCAGAACACTGAATAGAGAGAAGAAAAACGGACCTGGGCAGAAAAGGGGCATCCTCCATGTTCTCCATAGCCTCTAGCCAACACCATCTCTTTCCCAGTGGATAAAGAGCAGCCACATTTGGCAAGTAGTTTGGCCCTGCCCTTCACAGAATGTAGGCAGGTGTCTGCTATGGACACTCCACACTCAGACTGAATCTTAAGGCATAGCAATGCCTTGTTTCTCCCTAGCTCTGATCTCCATGCCCCTTCTCTGAGGCATTAAGCCTATGTTTCATTAGTCTTAATGACTGAAGGGTGGGGGAAGAAATAGATGGATATTGTAAAGAGAGAACATATCCAGGGATACTTCAGAACACTGTCCTGCTGACTAATGGTCAGTGGGTGCAATGGTACATTGAAGAGTTTTCTGATTTCATGAAAGTCTGCCTCTGCCACAGAGTGTGAATAGAGGAGAGCAAAACAGGGGTTTGCTGTGTTCTGAGGAGACCTCAGATTGGGGCATTAGGGGAGATTTGATGCAGGGAGAGAGATGGGATGGAACAAGTTGAGCATGACCCAGAGACCTGGGAAAGCCAGTGTCCAGGGGGATGAGGGGCGGGGTCACTTGTTTCTAGCCTGGAAAGGGAAGAAATCAAAACAACCACCAGCTGGAGAAATAGATGAAAAAGACAGTGCTGTATACTTTAATGAGGCTTTGGGAGTCTGTTGGTTGGTTTTTTGACATGGATTAAAGAAGAGCTATTTTCAGTAGGAGTAGGTAGAAGAGAAACTGTCACATTTGTTCTGTAGGAGCCCTGGAGAGCCAGGAGGGCAACGTGGAAGCCGGAACCAGGAACACCGTCATCCGTTTTTCAACAAAGTACCACTCTGGGATTGTAGATTTTATTTATTTATTATTTTTTATTTGGCTGCTCTTGAAATGGCGATCAGAGAACATTTAGAGCTGAGCCATGGGGCAGAGATGTGGGGACCCATCTGGAGTTGTGGTTGAGGCAGAGAGAAGAGGAACTGTGGGCTAATGGTGTGACAACTTCCACCTCTGTCCTGTGACAGTTTAGGGGTTGTCAGAGTTGCCTTTTTTAAAAAAAAAAAAACTAGTTTTTTTTTACATCATTCTTCATTTTGTATGTTTTTCCATCTCAGTTGTAACCCCCATGGACTTCCCACCACTTCACCCGTGTGCCATCACCATAGTCCCATGTGCTCTTCCCACCCCAGTTTTGATCCCTCTCCACCCCCCACAGGATATCTCTGGTTTATTGGTTGATTTTTGTTTTTACTTTATTTCAGTTGCTTTTTCCCCCTCTGATCCCTTATACTCCAGCAATGAGTGAAACCTTCTTAAATGTGATAAGGCAGCACCTGCAAAATATATCAATACCTTGCTAGGTCCCACCTGCAGATGACAGTGACACCTTCCTAAGGTCCCATCTCCAGGTGACCTGTAGACTCATTGCTCCCACTCAGCTTCCTTGGAGGAAATTACCTTCATTGATGATCTGTTTAGCAGCAATAGCTGATGACAGGTGAATAGGCTCCATGAAAATGCTCTCAGTTTCTGCATCAGAAACCATCGAGAACCTAAGAGAAGGAGTATTCATGAGACAATGCTGAGCAATACATGAATTGGGGCACTAAATAAGAAATGTGGATCTGGGGAGGTTGGGTAAGCCAGGCAAAAAGGGTCAATTGTACTGTGAAAGATGGAATTAGACTTTTGGTGGCGAACCTAATACAGTACAATGGATGTTGATTTACAATGACGTACACCTGAAACCTATATACTGTTATAAATCAATGTCACTTCAACAAAAATAAAAAATAAAAACCTGGATCTGATTTTACCCACAAGTGGAGAGCAATGGGAGACAAAGGGAATGCTTTCTTCCATTTAGGGGTGCTGGGGAAACTGCGAAGGCAGATGCTGTGTCCTGTGGCTCAGTCACCTGTCTGCTTTCAGGCCACAGTAGCATCAGCCAGAGTGTCCACCGCCTGTCTGCTTTCAGGCCTGAGTAGGCATCTGCTTCATAAGTGGGTGTTTAGTGATGGAATGACATGCTCCAGTCTAGGCTTCGGAGGAAAGAGCTGTGGATGTGGTTGTGGGGGCGCCCCTTCTTGTGGCTGTGCTTCCTCTACTGGGCTCCCACCCTGGACATCTTGCTCATTTTTTTTCTCTTGCCCCCTGTTCCTCTACTCTAAAGTGCAAGATGTCCCTCATCGTGGCCCTACCAGGGTCCTGCGGATGGGCAGGCAGGTGGGCTGCTCTCTGTGCCCCACAAGTTCGCTCTGCTCATAGAGGAACGACCTGGCAATGATGGGCTGGCACAGCACCAAAGGAAATTCGGAGTCCCTGCTGCGCTCCTGGCCAACAGCCTTTTAGAGGTTAGCACTCAGGTCACCTAGCTGACGCCACAAGAAGTCAGACAAGCTGCCTGTGGAGTCCTGTTCGAATTGTCTTAAACATTGGGCAAATTTTTGAACAGAGATAGAAAAAGGAGACTGCAATTCCACGTGTTATGTGAATTTTGAGCAAAGCACATTTTTCTCTAATAATGATGTGGAACCTAAAATATCAATGACCCAGCCAAAATTGCTGTAATTGGGAAGTGACAATAAATGATACTGACATGAGACAGCAAGCCTGGCCACTGTGTCCCACCCTGTGACATTCTGAGCTGGAAATTCAGGGCTGACTCATTTTCAGATACCAACATCTCAAAAAACTAGACGTAAAATTTTATTAAAACTTGAGTCATATTTGCATTTCAGCAATACTTATTAGTTAATAGTATCTATATAATCTTTTCTCCATATCCAGAGGGGTTGGGACCTGGACTTCCATATACGGAAACCTGCAAGTGCTCATTTTATAAACAGGGTGATATTTGCATACAACCTAGGCAATGCTCCAGTACACTCTAAATCACCCCCTGTACTTATACCTCTACAATATAAACATTATATAAATAATTGTTATACTGTGTTGTTCAGAGGATAATGACAAGGGGGAAAAGCTGTGCATGTTCAATAAAGAACTGCCTACCATAGATCTAAAAATTACATGTCTTTCCATTCATGCTTTGTTGATGCCATGGATGTGGAAATGAGGATACTGAGGACCGCCTGTACTATTAGTAATAAAATAATTACCGCCTTTCTTAAGGTCAAGATTATGTGAAATGAGTTTTGGAGAAAAGCTCAGAACAAAACCCTGGTAGGGAAGTTAGCAGAGAAATCTCACGTGAAGTGGGGCTGATAACAGCTTTCTGCCCTCATTTCTCCCCCAAGCCCCTTCGCTTCACTCCTCGGCAGATCCAGGGCCTCTGATCTTGAAACCCCCTTCCAAGCAACTCACACAGAAATAGATGAAAAGGAGAAGTTGGAGCCTCCCCTATCAGGAGTGCAGAAGGCCCAGAAGGGACCCAGCTGGCACCCCCAGACACCCCCTTTCTATCTACCAGCCCAGCCTGAGGGTGCCATATCCCTGAGCAACCACAGTTGGTACAGATTTGTTTTCAAGTGAAAAATGAGATTCTGTCTTAAACAGACCTAAACTCCGAGGTCTTGACTTTAATAGGGGTGAATTTGAAATAAAAATTTGAAAGTAGAAATGACTGTGAAACATCCACCCTCCTCATGGGTGGTGCTGATTGAACCCCAGCTGATAGTCAGCAAGTGGAGACATGACACAGGACACTTCAGAAAAGTTGGTGTTTCGTGATTGAGAAAAAGAGGGTCAAGTTCCCTCCCCAGCCTAGTGTCAGTTCTTGGCTGCCCCTGAACAATGTTAAACCAAGCCTTGCGGTGTGGAATGCAGAGTGCGGGTTATAAATGCTTTCCAGAGTCAACTGCCAGAGAGCTGTAAACCCGGTGCTTTTAAAGCTGGGGGCACATGGGCCCCCAGAAGTCAAAGCACCCTAATGGGAGAGACCTGCTCTTTCCTTTTCCATGGAGAAGCAGGACTGCAGAGAAAGAGACCTAACCACAGGCCTGTTCATATTGGCAAAGCCAGTGAGTCGGCAGCGGAGGGTGGGGGGAGTGGGGGGACGTGGGGGGTTTGATTTATGACCATAGTCAGCGCCTCCATCCGCCTACTTGAGCGGGAGTGAGACGCTACCCGCCCCGACTAGGAAGCAGCCAGGGTTGGCTGTTCAAAAAGACAGGCTGGGAAAGAAAGGATCTAAGATCGATACACACCTCATCACAGGATCAGGAAATAGCAGCTAAAGAGCCTTGAGGGTGAATTGAAAGAGAAACAATAAAGCCGGCTTGATGGACTTCCTAACCAAGAGCGGGAGAGTGGAGCAGCATTTTTAAGCTTGTGTTTTTTCAAAACTGCAGACTGTGACCCTTTAGTGTATCACAGAATCAATTCC